GTCCCCAAACTTTTTACACAGGGGGCCAGTTCCCTGTCCCTCAGACCATTGGAGGTCCGCCACATACTGTGCTCCTCTCGCTGACCACCAATGAAAGAGGTGCCCCTTCCTGAAGTGCGGCGGGGGACCGGATAAATGGCCTCAGGGGGCCGCATGTGGCCCGTGGGCCATAGTTTGGGGACGCCTGGTCTAGAAGGAGGTGCGTTTGGATATAGACATTAAAGAGCCTGGGAGTCAGTGTATGTTGTGGTCAAGCGTGTGTGGTCCCAGGTGCAGTCCTGATGTGCACGTCTGGCTGGGTGCATGGGAGCCGCAGGCACCTCTGTGTGCCTCAGTTTCCATGTGTAAACATCTGAGATGAGCACTTGCGTGTGGTTGCCACCTGGTCAGTGTCAGCCTTCTCTAATGCAGGCAGCATGAGGACTCCCAGACAGTGACTCTCCTATGACATTCCCAGGTCGCCGCTGAGTATGAAGAGGCATCAGTTTCCGGCGCGGGAGTCGCTCTCTGTGTCATCATGCGTTTCTCTCGTCTTGCTTTAATATCACAGCACTGCCAATCAAACCACATTCGAAAGGGTTTGCAGAGACTTGCCGTGCGCACTCATGAACTCCAGCCCTGATGTGTCTGCAAGCCGGAAGCCAACCTAAAACCTTCCTTTGTCCCTTAATCCTGCTGCCTCTGCATCTCATTTTCAAATTTCATTTTATCAACTTTGTTTGTGCTATTTGCTTCTGGATAAAGGATTTGCGAAATTATTCGGCATGTGGACAGAAAGCCCTACGGCCTCCTGACAAGGCAGCCAGGAAGTCCTCCCGTGGTCTGAAGAGGCAGCCGGGCTGGCCTCCCACAGTCAGGAGCAGCATCAGGCTGGTGCGTCTCCTGACACCAGCCAAGAACACGGCGGTCCCAGCCCACATCCCTCGGGCTCACACATCGCCTCGTGCCCAGACTCTCGTCCGCTTTGGCGCCGCTAGAGGCTAATTCACAACAACAAAAGCCAAAGTCATGACTCTTGTCCAGATCTCAAATGACCGTGTGACCCATTTCTACTGAACGGATGAACTGAATGGGAACTGGCAAGAAGGTACCACCAGTTCAAAAGAGAAATCCAGGAACCCTGCGGGGATAAGGAGTGGAGCACTGTTGAAATGGACTTCCAAACCCATTCTCCACTGGAGACAGCCCGTGTCAACTTTTATGCTTGTGCCAGGAGTCACATTTCCTGACAGCCTCGCCACCTTTTGTCCAACGTAATCGCAAAGGGAGATTATTCTGGATGGCAGAATAAGGATGCCCCCCCCCACCCCCCGTGTGGCTTGCCTGCTTGGTTGCATAGGGTTGACGAGAGTGCCACCATGCCATATGGGTGCTTTTCCGTTTGTTTTGCTGGAAGACCTCATAGTTACACCTTAAACGCCTCTGTTATTTGCTATCCTGAGGCTAGGAAGCCAAGCACAAAAAACTCCTTCAGATTTCACCTGCAGGACTTACACATTTGGTGAACCCCTCCCTTCGCAAGGCCACCATGATATTCCAAAACCCTGGCCTGTCAGAGTACAGCCTTTTTTTCCCATCTTCGAGGCTACAGCCCTGAGAGTCCGTCCACTCCCCCGGGAGACTTTGTGAGCGTGCACACTGCACAGTCACCGTCGGCCCCTTGCAAGCAGTCACAGCCCAGCAAACGAGCCTCGTTCTCATGCAGGTCTCTGAGACCCAGCCTTGGTTGCATAAACCTTCCCCAATTATATCCTGGCAGGAAGGAGGACAGATCCTTACAGAACCTTTGGAGGTAACTATTTTGCCACAAAATGTAAAGCCTTCATAAAAGTGAATTTGGGGGGAGGGAGAGCAGACAGTAAAAATCAGAATATCGTTTAAAAATTATTCATTTCACTTACGCCTGTAATTCTAGCACTTTGGGAGGCCAAGGCAGGAGGATCATTTAGGGTCAGGAGTCTGAAACCAGCCTGGCCAACATGGTGAAAACCCATCTCAACTAAAAATACAAAAAAACTAGCTGGGCATGGTGGCGGATGCCTGTAATCCCATCTACTTGGGAGGTTGAGGCAGGAGAATTGTTTGAACCCCTGAGGTAGAGGTTGCAGTGAGCCGAGATCACACCACTGCACTCCAACCTGAGCGACAGATTGAGTCTGTCTCAAAACGAGAAAAAAAATTATTCATTTCAGTTTGCAAAAAATCTGGGTCATTAAAGGTTGCTGATGGCTTAAGAAGACAGGGAAAGGGCTTCCTTACAGAGCCAGAAGGTCCAGCAGTACAAACACAGGCACGATGCCAGAGTAGTGCTCCTCACTCATTCCACTCGGTCCTCCGGAACGGATTCTCCACTGAGTCCTGGGTTGCAGCCTCATGAAGCCGGCTGTTTCTCTTGATAGAAACACAAAGAGCTAGAAAGAGCTCTGCTGGGCAGCCCACTGGCAGGATCTGAATAGCATTTGAGCAAAGCCGTCAGAAGCTGTCCCCAGGAGTCTGCGCTTGGGGGTCAGTCACTGGAGGTGCCAGCGGTCCTTTTCGTGGGGCTCAGAGCGTCTGCGTGGAATCGAAGCTGCGGCCTCCAGCCTGGTGCAGAACCTTTGGGGAGCACTGGCGTCAAAGCGTCTGTAGATGACAGCCACCCCTTTTTTGGCCCATTTTACAGCAGAGGAAATTTACGTTCAAAGAAGTTGAGCTGAGGGTCCCAGGAGTGAGAGGCAGTCAGGGATCCCCTGGGACCGCCTGGCCTCACGCTCCTGAGGCGGGGAAGCCCCAGGCCTGTGAGCCGGTGCCCTTGGCAAAGCCACTTGCCTTCTGAGTAAAGTCAGATGAGCCTCCCCAGTCCCAACAGACCTCGATTCCGTGCTTACTGCCCACCTCCAGCCTTGTGAGGTCTTGCTGGTGGGTGCAGCCCCTTCAAGCCTGCCCAAAAAGCCAGGATTTGAGTTGGTCTTGCCAAATGTGTCTTGAGAGAATTTAACTCCAAGATCATCCCCTGTGGATGCCGAGGGGCTGGGACAGTTTGTGGTGCCCTTCATGCCCACAAGGAAAAGCGCCCAGTGGGGCGGGGTCGGGGGAGGACTTTAGAAAGGGGCCATTTGCTGTGGCCACCCAGGTTGGAGCACAGGGCCCCCCGCCTCCTCCGGGACCTCCCCTCTCATCTGAGGGAGACACCCTAGAAACACATCTTTGAGCAGTGGCTTCTAATCCAAGAAACCCTTTAGAAATTATGCGCAGATTCTCGGGGCCCAACCCAGACCCACTGCATGGGAATCCCTGGGCTGGGCCAGATGCACACTTTGAAGGACGACAGCCTCCTTAGCAGGCCCCTTGCAAAGCGCCTCCGGTTTCTCCAGAAGCTCCAGATCCAGAATGTTCCAAGAAAGAGCCCTTCTTGCCTTCCTCCTCTTCCGCCCCTCCCCTCTGCAGACTGAGGTCTGACCCCCAAGTAAGCCTGCCACACCAGGCGGAAGCGGGTTACGCACGGGTCCATGTGGGAACCACTTTCTGTCCCGTCTTGGTGGGAAAATGGCCAGGAACCCAGCCCGGGCCCTGCCGCGCCACAACTCCACGGTCATAACCCAGGGCATAACCCGTGGCATGGACTGTGACTGGGGCTGAGGATGGTGCCGTGGTAGAAGCGAGAGCCTGGCACCCAGCCAAGTGCAGGACTCCTCGGCCGTGGGGTTGGGAGAAGCAGCCTCTGCACTCGAGCCTGAGCACCAGGACACGGGAGGAGAAGCACATCCCGGAGGAGGGGGTTCGGCGGGGAGCGGGCAGTTGTGCGAAGGAAGACTTGCAGGGAACGGCGAGGCCAGAGCTGGGACGCGGGAGGGGCTCCCGTGCCCTTGCAGGCGTGGCCAGGGCCAGCTGTGTAGGCAGCCGGGGATACAGCAGATGTCGTAGACGATGCCCACAATGCCACAGCCACCCTGACCCACCATCACACTGGGGCAGGTGCCAGCAGGGGTAACAGGCAAGGCGAGGTCCTGTTTACTGCCTTATTGCCAATTCAGCAGCCCACAGGAAATGGTGTTAGTCACAGAAAAAAAAAAAATCTGTTTTCTATATTTCACTGTTTCCAAGTAAAGAAAAAAGAAAACTAATCTTAGCTTTAAAAAAAAAAAAAATTGGTGCGCTGGGCACCAAAAAATAACTGTCTCCCTAGCCTGCGTTTTCCCCATACCAGGGGACTGTGCTGGAAAGGAAAGCTGCGTTGGCAGCCCCCAGCCGGGGAAGCTGTCCGGGGAGGCATCCACGCGAGGAAGGTGGGGCCTCGGCGGGTCTGTTCTGCCTCTGTCCAGCCCTGGAGAAGCCCCACCCTCGTCACACCGAATGCCCTCCCTGAGAGCTGAGACTCATGGCCCAAAGCCCCAGACAAAAGATGCAGATACCAACCTGGCGTTCCCACCGCTGCCTGGGTGGCACTCGGGCGTGAGTGCTCCCATCCCATGCGTAGGTCGTGTTTCTCTGCGGGCACCAGTTCCACTGTGGGCTCCTGGGATCCTCAGGGGCTCTCTTGTCATGTGATTTACTTCTTTGACTTCGTCATTCGGCCTCAGTCCCTCAGTCCCCAAATGCTGAAAGGCAGTCTTTTTTTTTTTTTTTTAAGTCAATGAACTTGAAATTTATTTACAAAATGGCTCCCATGGGATACTTGAAGGCCCGGTGCCGAGCGACAGTGTTGACCACAAGTGGTCAGTCCTGCCTGGCCCCTTCCAAGGGATGGGCCTTCCCTTAACCACGTCCCTGACAGGCATGTGGCCAAGGGGTAGGAGCGGTCGCTGTATTTTTCACAACTCTTTCCACTGAACAAAACAATGACATTTGCACCACCCATAGACATCAACCAGATGAAAAGATGTGCCTGTCACGTTGCAATGCCGAGGGTTACGATTTTCTTTGCAAAACGAACCTTCCGGTTGGAGCCAAGCACGTGGCGTCTGACGCCTCCTGGGAGACCCGCGCCCCCGCTGCCCCTCACCGCCGCTTCTGTTTTGCAGGTGATCTTCAGCAAGTACTGCAACTCCAGCGACATCATGGACCTGTTCTGCATCGCCACCGGCCTGCCTCGGTGAGTGTGCACTGCGGGTTCTGCCCGGAGACGCCGCGCGGCCTCCTCGCCTTCCGGGATGCCGGGCGGGGATGGAAGGAGGCGCAGGAGGGCCCGAGGGACCCGCCTTCTACACGGGGCTCTTTCAGATCAATGCTCAGGATCCCAAGGGTGCTCAGCCGCCATCCAGGCTTGCTTCTCTATCTGAGCAGGTGATGGCTTTGTCCACGCCGAGGAAACCGTGGGGCTGAATAGAACAGGATGGCCCTCTTAAAAGTGCGGGTTTTTCGGCTGAGCACCATGGCTCATGCCTATAATCCCAGCACTTTGGGAAGCTGAGGCGGGTGGATCACCAGAGGTCAGGAGTTAAAGACCATCTGGTGAAACCTTGTCTGGGCACGGTGCCTCACGCCTGTAATCCCAGCACTTTGGGAGGGTGAGGTGGGCATATCATGAGATCAGGAGATCAAGATGTTCCTGGCTAACAGGGTGACACCCTGTCTCTACTAAAAATACAAAAAATTAGCCAGGCGTGATGGCACGTGCATGTAATCGCAGCTACTTGAAAGGCTGAGGCAGGAGAATCGCTTGAACCCAGGAGGCAGAGGTTGCAATGAACCAAGATCGTGCCAGGGCACTCCAGCCTGGGTGACAGAGTGAGACTCCTTCTGCCAGGTGTGGTGGCTCACCCTGTAATCTCAGCACTTTGGGAGGCCGAGGCAGGCAGATCACTTGAGGTCAGGAGTTCAAGACCAGCCTGGCCAACATGGTGAAACCCTGTCCTAAAAAAAAAAAAAAAAAAAAAAAGTAAAAGATGAAAAATAAATAAATAAATAAAATAATAATAACACAAAAATTATCCTGGTGTGGTCATGGGCGCTTGTAATCCCTGCTACTTGGGAAGCTGAGACAGGAGAATGGTTTGAACCCTGGAGGCAGAGGTTTCAGTGAGCCAAGATTGCGCCATTGCACTCTAGCCTAGGTGACAGAGCAAGACTCTGCCTCAAAAGAAAGAAAGAAAGAAAGAAAGAAAAGCAAAAGTATGTTTTTCCCCCCTCTCACTTCTTCATTCATTTTTGGAGAAAGCAGGGGGGTTGTGTGTGGGTTTGGTCCCCAGCCCCATATCACACCATAGGTCCGTTTCCTACCCAGGGGGCTTGACCCAGATCAACACTGGCCGAAAGGCCAACTTTAGAAATGGATTAAAAAGACCAGTGACCTGCCTTACCACCCTCAGATTCCCCCAGGAGCTAATGTCCTAAATCAACAGTGTGTTCGAGCAAGTGAATTTTCTAATTATCAGCACGCAAGCCTTCTAATTATAAAGGGTGAGCAGGAGCAGCTTTGGCTCAAGGATTAACTTTAAACTTGAATGCTGGGCATGTTCCAAGATAGAAGTAGAGACGGGCAATTGAAGTTTTCACAATTGAGGGTGAGAAGAGGGTGACCCAGGAGATGAAATGCCATGTCTGAAAGTGCACCAAGTGGCAATTTGTAGCAGCAAAAATAGTCCATGGTGTCTGGGGCATCTTTGGGCAGCATCTGTGAAGCTCTGTGCCTATATATATATATATATATATATATATATATGCACACACACACACACACACACACACACACACGTGATTCTGTATAGTGGCCTTGGGATTGGAGTGTCACCTCCATTGCACATATTTTAACAATTCACAACTGAAGATCAGAGAGTAACTTGGTCGAGGTAACACAGCTTGCAAGAGGCCCCAAAGATGTGAGGTTGGAAGAAGACTCATCCTACCCATTTAAAACTGTTTTGTAGGAGAGAGTTTTGCAGTTCAGATGGACTCCAGGGTACTGGAAGTAGAAAGACAAACTATGAATTCGTCATCTGCTGATATAAATGTTAGTTCCTATTTTACCACAGTTTTTTTTTTAAAGAATTTCCCAACTCAATAAAGTAGACTTGCTCCAGTTCCCATTTTAAAGTATTTCAGCATCTACACGCACTTAGGATTACACACAGCTGTTTAATTTCATTTACAAACGGAGTCGCAACGCCCTGGGGACGGCCTCCCACCCGTTCCACCCCACCACACCTTGGCCAGGCTGGTCTCGGGACTGTCCTGGTTGTCTCAGGGCTCTGGCCCTGTGTGCACATCAAGTGCACGTGGGACGAGCATGCTACGGGCGGAAACACAGGCTTGGGTGTGTTTTCCAGGAACACGACCATCTCCCTGCTGACCACTGACGACGCCATGGTCTCCATCGACCCCACCATGCCCGCGAATTCCGAACGGTAAGGGGCTCCAGCCGTGCTCCTCTGGGTGTGTCTGGCACTTCTTTCCATGACACGGACGCTTTCTGTGGTTTTGTAAATGTGCTGCTGCAGAAAGGTGTGAATTGACAGCAGAGATGGAGGGCGAGGGGAGGAGCGTGTGAAGGAGGCTGAGGCTGGACTCGTTGTGTTCTCCTGCAGAAGAGCTGGGCGTGTTCCAAGATAACAGTTGCAGCCATGGCTCTGCACCTGCTTCTCAACAGGAGGAGGCATTGCACAGAGGGGAAACTGAGGCACGGGAGGGTGCGCCGAGAGCTGCAGAGCCGGGCCCCAGGACCACCATGTTAGCCCCTGGAAGGGCCGCAGCAGGTTCCCAGCAGAGCTCCTGAGGACCCTTCCCGTGTACCCACTTGGGGCCAGTCTCTGCATTCATGAAGTGACGCCTGCCGGAGATTCTCTGCACAGAGGGGCGGGGATGAGGGAGGCCCAGGATATCAGGAGGAGAGGCCAGTGAACGCCTCTGTGAATGTCTGTGAACCAGGTCAAGCTGGTGGTGTATGGCCCAGGAAAGACCCAGATCAGGAACCCTCAGGTCAGTGACCTGCCCCTGCGCCAGGCGACTGGGGAGTCCCCAGCAGCCTCCTCTGCTCTTTGTGGTTGGGCAAGGTGTAACTTAGATTTCTTCATGAGGCAAGGGAGCTAGTGAGCCGGGGGAGGGGGTGTGACCTCAGGACCCCTCTCTGATGTCCTCTGTTCCTCCCAGATTGGGGCTCACTGAGCCTCCACGGGACTCGGTAGATGCAATGGGACACTTGTCAATCTGGTCATCAGGGTGTCCTGCCTGGCTGACCCATGGCCAACTCTGAGCCCACAGGAGAAAGCATATGTCAGGTAGACCCTTGTGTCAGCCAGGTCCCAGTGCACATGGCCAGCACCGTCCCCCTCAGCAAGGTCACAGTGGACATGGCCAGCACTGTCCCCCTCATCGAGGCTCCAGTTGACATGGCCAGAGCTATCCTGGTCAGCCATCCTTCCTGTCACTTTGAGGTCTCAGCCAGGTTCTTCCCATCTGGCTGTGCCCATCAATCTCCCCTCCTGCCCTAGTCAGGATGCCCATCTCCTGCCCCACACCCTCTGGCTCTGACTCTTGGCTTCCAGACTCCCTGGAAGGTGCAACGCTAATTGGCTCCCCGGAGACTCCAGTGAGCATCGTATCCGCCTCAGCACCAGCTCCAGCCCTGGGGGTCTCACTCACAAGGGAAGTGACTGGGTGACCCATCCTCCTGACACCCACAAGACTAAAATGATCTCTCTGAGGGGATTTCACAGAAACCAGTACCTTGTCCGTGCCAGCTGGGGCTCTGAGAGAAACTGCTTTGTTTTTGTGAACTCAGTTGAAACAGCATGCAGAGACATTTAAACTGGGCGGGAAATAGGGGAAGCCTACATTGACCTCCTAATTCTCCAGCCCCGGGTGTCTTATTAACGACAGAAAGTACCACATACACCAGACAAAAGCCCTCCTGAGCCCCAAAAGCCCAAATGTCTGGAAGCTCTCTGCTAAGATGCCAGCCTGCATGCCTTTCTGATAGAGGCAGAGACACACGAGGTGCCGCGGTGTGGACACGGACAGCGGAGCAGTGCAGATGGGGTTGGAGAGGGAGCCGATGAGGAAAGAGCTAGAGATGGTTGCACAGGTGTGGGTCTACCAGGTGTGGGTGACACAGACACGGATCGAGACACCAACGGGAATGTGCTCTAGATAATGTGACTCTGGATGTAGAAAAAGCTGCGGAGACCCCAGCTGTGATTGTGGGTGTGGATATAGGCACAGACGTGGTGGGAGGAGAGAACAGACTCTCCCTCTCATTACAAACTGATCGTGGCTCAGGGCGGCACATGCTGAGATGTGGCTGTATTTGTCCCCCGGGCTGTTGCCTGCGTCCTCCTGCACCCCCGTCTCCTCTGCACCTTCTTCCATTCCCTCTGCCACCCCTAGGTCCAGGCCTTACTGAGCTCTGACCTCCCTGCCTCCAGCCCGCCTCTCCCACACGGCTGCCAGGTTCAACCTGGTAGGACACCTTCTTCTCCATGGTGGCCTGGGCCCTGCCAACCTCTGCCCCACCAACTCCTCCAGTTTACCCCCTGTCCCCCCGCCCAGCCCACAGGATCCTGCTTTTCAATTCTGCCAGTTCAAGAATATTAGATAAATGAGATTACACGGTATGTAACGTCTTGAGATTGGCTTTTTTTAAACTGGCATCATTACTTTGAGTTCCGTCACCATCCAAAGTCACCAGCCCCTTCACTCTCAACATCAAAAGTCACCCTGTCCCATCACCATCCAAAGTCACCAACCCCATCACTATGACTATCCAAAGTCACCAGCCCCATCACTGTAATTCACTGCCCCAGTTTCCACACAGGTGCCTGAACTCCAGCAGAGAATGCCCAAGAGAGAGACGCGCCCGTGCACTTGGGCTTTCAGGCATCCTCAGCACACACATCTGTGCTTATTCCAACCACTCCCTGTGAACTAGTTCAGCTAAAGAGTGGCTTTCCACCCTGGCTGCAGATTGTAACCACCCAGAAATCTTTTAAAAGGTACCGCTTGATGCCCAGACACCTCCAATTAAGTCCAGATTTTTACGAGATATCTTTTTTGAGACGGGGTCTCGCTCTGGCAGCGAGGCCAGAGTACAGTGGCGTGATCTCAGCTCACTGCAGCCTTCACCTCCCAGGTTCAAGCGATTCTCTGGCCTTAGCCTTCTGAGTAGCTGGGATTACAGGCATGCACCACCATGCCCGGCTAGTTTTTTATTTCTAGTAGAGACGGGGTTTTACCATGTTGGTCAGGCTGGTCTTGAACTCCTGACCTCAGGATCCACCTGCCTCAGCCTCCCAAAGTTCTGGGATTGCAGGCGTGAGCCACCGCGCACGAGACTTTTTAAAAAGCTCTGCAAGTGATTCCAGCATGCAGCCCGGGGATGAACCGCTGACGTGAGGCCTGGAAAACCGAAGAAACCACTCTTGACCCAGCCCTCTGGTGACCAGAAACCCGTGTCTACGAGACCCAGGGCCTCCCCGCACTGAAACCGCGGGGTAACTCTTTGCTTCTTCCTGGCAGACGGCAGCCCTCTCCCTCTAGCTCAGAAGCCATGTCAGCGGCTGCTTGCTTGCTTGCTTGCTTGCTTGGGTCGTGTCTCTCTCTAACTCCCTCTGCTTCTGCAGACACCTGCAGTGCCTTGCTGTGGACTTGGTCCCCTCATTGTCCCCCAACCTCAGGCCCAGGAACCGTATCTTTGGAGGGGGCTTCCCTGCAGGTGGCTGGTTGCATCTAGCATGCTTGGATGCTTCCCAGTTTCACAGCCACAGGGAGGGGGTTTCATGAAATCTCCAAATTCCAAGGGCTCTTGAGAGACCGCCTCCATCCTGATCAGAAGGGGTGATCCCAGAGCTTAAAACTCTTAACTCCTTCTCAGCTTCTCATTCCAAACCAAACAGAGTGTGCCATTGAATTAGTCTTTCAAAACACTTCTTGCCTTAATGCCATCCTTTAGATTTTGGCAGCTGGCCCCGGTGCGGACCACGTGCCACGGGTGGGCCTCCCGTTACCCCTCACAGTTACCTCCCCCTTGAGTCCTGCTACCGTCCAGAATCGTAGGCTCCAAACCCTCTTTCCTCCCTTCGCTCCCGGCATGGAGCCCTCCAGTGGCCTCTTAGCCACAGGACACTGTCCAGGCCCCCGTGTTGGGATGTCTGCCCTAACCCACCGTCATGTACTCACCTCCAATCTGCTGAGCTGCATGAGTGCCCACCCCAGCCCAGCGGGACACTCCCCTTCTGCAAACCTCCAAGCACCTTCCCCCTCTGCACACTGCCTGGCTTCCCAGCCTCCCCCAAATCCGAAGGCTCCTCCCGTGGCTGGGGGTCTGCTGACGGCTGCCTAGCCCTTCCCGTGCTCCTGGACGTTTGGTGCAATCTGGAGGACGCTGAAGCCGGCATCTGAAATAACCTGGAACACGTGTACCTCATGGAACAATAGGCTGATTGGCTTCCACTCGCTTCTGGAGCTGGCAGGAAAGATAATTGATGACTAAACAAGCTAAGGATCAACAAATATAAATAGCCATGGCCCAACTGAGATCAAACAAGGCTCCAGCATTCCTCCTTGGAGCGACCCTGAGCCGTCTGGAGTCACTTGCCTTTCCAATTCCAGAGAGGCTGACGTCCGGCTAACATGGGCATTGCTTCGTGACAACCCTGCCCCTTCCATTGCCCGGTCACTGCTGCTTCAAGATGCAGTGGAAGAATGTCAGACACCTCAGTCACGTGAGTGAGGGTGGGGCGCGTGGCAAGACACATACAGAGGGAAGAGGGCCAAAGACGGCGGCGGCGTGTGACACACACCATCGCCCCTTTTGTCTCCGGTTTCTGCCAAGTTGTGCCGCGGGCGGCTCTCCTCCAGATGAGCCCTGTGCTCGCAAGACCAGTGTTGTCGGCCACTCCGGCTTAGAGAAAAGCTTTCCACATTCCAGAGCGGCTCCAGGCCCCTCCTCCTCCTCTTAAATGTTTGTAAAAGAGGTCTTAGAGCCCAGGCAGGTGGACCTTAGCAAAAGACAAATACAGTAGAAACCCAAGGCAAGCTTATCCCTTCCAAAGAGGGAGCGCTTCCTGTGTTGATTGGCTGTTGAAGAACATGATGAAGATTCAGCCAAGAGGTGACTCATCCGTGGGACCATCATAACCGGTCCTGAGGAACCACAGCGCTCAGCATCTGGGAGCCGGAGTGATCTTGAGTGGCCAAGAGAGCTGGGAAGGCTTCTGCAGCCTCCTGGAGCGTCACAGAGGCTCCCTGTCCATCCACCTTTCCCTCTGTTGCTGATGTGATGGTTCCCACCCTCAGCTCACCAGACTCCACGGAGAGGTCGGCCTCTGAATACACTGAATGGGCTTGAAGGGGGCTGGGCTCCATTTGGGTGGATGAGCAGGCCCAGCGCCCCTGTACGATGGGAGGGTGTCTTGGTAAGCCTGTCTTTGTGTCAGTTCCCCAGGGCATCTCCCTCACTCTCCTGCATAGAAGTTGCTGGACACCCTTTTGGGCTCTGTCCCCGCTGGCACAGTGCGGAATCTATGCTGTTCTCCCTCCAGCCCTCACCCCTCCTCCTGGAGCCCTTCTCTGCTCCTGGTCACTTACCCGCCCCCCACCTCCAGCACCGATTTTCTAGGGACAAGGGGCAGGGGAAGAAGGAGAAGAAAGAGTCCTTGCTGCCCCTCAGAGGAGGCGCAGAAGAAGAAAGACTGGGAGGAGTGGGGAGCCAGGGATGGGAGGAGGGACGGAACAGCCCCGTCCTGCTGCCCACACGTGGTCCTGGCTTCCTCTCCACCCACTGCCCCATCTCAAGCGCTGCTCATGGCAGGGGCCAGAGAGACACTGAGAAGAGGAAGGAAGGAGGATCCAGGAGGAGGCCGGCACCCCCGGCTTCTCTGCTGTCCGCCCTCTCCTCTGTCCTCCTGGCCCAGACCCTTCCTAGGCAGCCCTGGCACGGTCCTCACTGGCCACACTGAGGCCGTCAGCAAAGCACCTGCCTCTCTACGCCTTGGACTCTGGGTCTATAAGGCATTGAGGCTGAGGTTCCTGGAAGAGCCGGGCACCATGGACTGGCCCAGCTGAGCACAGGCGTCGGGGGCTGGAGGGGCCCCAGTCCTGGTGCCCACCCCGTGCCCTCTCCACCTGGGAGCTTGGAGGACTCTGCCCTGTTCTTAGGGCCACGCTTCAAGCCCAGCAATTCTTATGACTGAGTCTCTGGGGAGAAATGAGCCCTCCAGTGTCAAATGAACCACCACTGAAAGGCCTTTCCAGGCAGGGCCTCTCGTGAGCCCAGCCAGTGGCATGGTGGGAGATGAGAGGGTGTCAGCTCACGTGTTGACATTCTGTGTGAACGGGGTCATTTGCAGGGCGAGGTCCCTCTGATCCCCAACACTGAGGCTCAGCTGGCAAGTCCACAGTGCCCAGCTCTCAGGAACCTCAGCCTCACCGCCCTACAGACAGAGCCCAAAGTTCAGGGAGGTCAGTGCCACACAGGTTTTATTTTTAAAATAAAAGTGTTTATTTTAAACATTTTATTGGTGTTTAAAATTGTAAAGATTTTCCATGTTGCCTGTAACCAACAAAGCACACATATTGCCCCCAGTTAATCACCGTTAACAGCTTGGCGTGTGCACCCTCCGTATTTACTGTGCTCCGTATTCATTTCTTCCAGAAATGAGCTCGTTCTCTATGTATCACTCCGTGGCCCGTTTTCACATAGTGAGGAGTCCTGGGCACCCCACCAGGTCAATACCTGCACACTTGTCTTCATCTTCTCAACAACTGCCTGACACCCCAGTGTCTCAGTCTGTCTGAACTTAAACAGCTAGACATTGACGCCTCACAGTCTGGAGGCTGAAGTTCAAGATAAGGGTGTGGGCAGATTCTGTTCCTGGGGAGGCCTCTCTTCCTGGCTTGCAGACTGCTGCCTTCTGGCTGTGCCCTCATGCGGCAGAGCAAGCGACAGCTCTGGTGCCTTCACCCCTTGTAAGGGCACCAATCCCATCATGTGGGCCCCACCCTCATGAACTCCTTCAAACCCAATCACCTCCCAAGGCCCCACCTCCCAATTTTATCCAACCGGGGATGAGGGCTTCATTATTTGAATCTGGGGTTGGGGGGGTGCCTCAACATTCAGACCCTAGCACCATGGGACCACTAATGTGTCATCCTGCCTGTGGAGAGATGCCGAGACTAAACCATGCTCTTTCAAGCCATCAGCCACCCAACCACAGTGGGCACTCAGGAAAACTGGGTAGAATGAATGAATGAATGAACCCATTGACATGAACACATGACATCTGACTGTCTCCCTGTGTGCTCATGTTTCATTCTGATACATTTCTCGGTAAATTCATCTGCTGAGACACAAGATTTTAACCCGGGTTGCTAGACTGCTTTCCCCAAGATGTGGCTACCCACACCGCCAGCAGCATCTGTGACGTCTGCCGCCCTGGGGCCTCGCAGCACTTCTCTTAAAGGTTTCCAAATGTTGCTGAACTGCTGGGTAAAGGAATAGCGTCTCTCTGGGGTTAGCCTCCCATGTGTGGACTTGTTATTACCCCTCCTGGCCACTGCCTGTTTCTAGTCTATGCCCGTTGCATCGGCTGCACTGTCTGTTCCTGCCCCCTGGCCAGAGGCCGTTATGTGTCAACGACAGAAACGTTTCGTCTGTCATATGCACAGTATTCTCTCCCTGTCCACTCTGGGCCTCGTGACTATGGGGGTGACATCATGGAGATTCCAGTGCATTTTGGACTTTGTCACCATCCTCTCTTGTTCATTTGGGGATACGGTCGCCACGAGCTCAACAGAGCAGAAGAGAGGAAGGGAGCCCACCTGTGTCCGCCAGGTGCTGGGATGGGTCCAGGCAGTTCTCCCAGTCTGCCCTTTCCAGCTCCATTCGCCATCTGTGACTGGCGATAGTACCCGCGACAAAATGTGTTTAATTGACCAAACATAAACATAGAGGAAGTTGATCGTTTAAATGATATACTTAGAATTCATCTGAGTGAGGAAGCTGAGAACAGTCAAAGAAACTAATTTAAAAAAAAAAAAAAAAAAAAAAGCACCTAATCCACTGAGTTCCCATCACGCGGAGTGCTTATCTCTCCTACCAGACATGCGGCGAGCGCCTTGCGGCATCTCACAGCAGCCCTGTCTTCTCTTTTGCAGCACTCCCTACAAAGTGAGACCTGTGGCCATCAAGCAACTCTCTGGTAAGGCCGTAGTGTCATTTTTTTAATTCAAAGAAGGAAAATGAAATCTTGAGCCTGCCTCTGTGATAAAATATGTATTAGTTAACCATTTGAATCTAAGCATTTGAAATATATATTAGTGAAGCATTCATTTGAAGCATTTAACTGTATGTTAGTTACGCATTTGAATCTGCATCTGAAGCTTGATACCACCGCAGAATCTGAAATCGTGGACTACTCTTTGTACTACTATAAGGGCTCTGCCGTGACAACCCCCGGTCCCCATCCCAGGGACTTTGCGGGTACAGGACGGCATGCACCCTGCTCTTCCTGGCCCAGCACCTGTCCTCCCTGTTCCACTGTGAGTTGCCAAGGCAGGTGTTTGTGGCCCTTGGGATGCCTCGGGGTGCCTCATACAGTCGCTTGTGCTGCTGTGTTAGAATCCTTCCCTTCCTTCCTTCCTTCCCTCCCTCCCTCCCTCCTTCCTTCCTTCCTTTCTTTTTCTTTCTTTCCTTTCTTGCTTTATTTTTTGTTTTATTTTTTTGAGATGGATTTTGGCTCTGTTGCCCAGGGCTGGAGTGCAGTGGTGTGATCTTGGCTCACTGCAACCTCCACCTCCCAAGTTCAAGTGATTCTCCTGCCTCAGCCTCCCAAGTAGCTGGGATTACAGGTGCCCACCAGCACACCTGGCTAATTTTTTTATATTTTTAGTAGAGACAGGGTTTTACCATGTTGGCCAGGCTGGTCTTGAACTCCTGACCTCAGGTGACCGGCCCGCCTCGGCCTCCCAAAGTGCTGGGACTACAGGTGTGAGCCACCACATCCAGGCTAGAATCCCTTTTCCATTTGATTTTTATCACTTTTATTTATGTATGATTTACACATAATAAAATGCCATGTAAGTGCCTATTCTGATGAGTTTTGGAAAATGTGTACACACTTGTAACCATCACCAAAATCAAGATATTTTTACCACCTAGAAAAGCTCTCCTGTGCCCATCCCAGTGTGTCTCAGGCCACAGCCGACCTGCTTTCTGGCATGGTCCATGAGATTTATCATTTCGAGAGTTTCATATAAAAGAAATTACACGGTACATGTATTCTTTTTTTTTTTTTTTTTTTTTTTTTTTTTTTGACTCATTGTAATGTTCTTGAGACCCATCCATGTGTTGTGGGTACAGACAGTTCATTGCTTTTTCTTACTAAGTGATATCCCATGGCGTGGGCTGTACCACAGCACATCTTCCATTCACTGTGGATGGATATTTGGGTCCTTTCCAGTCTTGGGGCTTTCATGAATAAGGCTGCTGTGAGCATTAAAGTACAAGTACTGGTGGAAGCATCTTTTTTTTTTTTTTTTTTTGAGACGGAGTTTCGCTCTTGTTACCCAGGCTGGAGTGCAATGGCGCGATCTCGGCTCACCGCAACCTCCGCCTCCTGGGTTCAGGCAATTCTCCTGCCTCAGCCTCCTGAGTAGCTGGGATTACAGGCACACGCCACCATGCCCAGCTAATTTTTTTTTAGTATTTTTAGTAGAGATGGGGTTTCACCATGTTGACCAGGATGGTCTTGATCTCTTGACCTCGTGATCCACCCGCCTCGGCCTCCCAAAGTGCTGGGATTACAGGCTTGAGCCACCGCGCCCGGCCTATTTTTATATATTTTATTTCTCTTGGCTAAATACCTAAGATACCTGTGACCTTACCAACTTTTTTATACAGTTACACTTAACCATCTTCCCTAAGGGTGGATGGAAGAGTCTGTAGAGTGTTCCCCAGTCTGGGTTTCCCTGACGTTTCTCTCATGAGCAGCCTGGGTGTGGTGGGTTTTAGAAGGAGGATGTAGGGTGCATGACAGACGTGTAGCCCCGCTGCCTTCCACACTGCAGAGTCACTGTTGTGAAGAGCAGTCACTTCCCTGCTCTTCTTTGGAAGCAAGCCACTGAGTCCAACCCACCCAAGCAGAAGAGAAAAAACTGAGGTGTGTTTTCTCTGTACAGATACTCATTTGCTCCAGCACCATTTGTTGAAAAGACAGTCTTTTCTCCCACTGAATTACCATGACTCCTTTGTGGAAAATCAGTAGGCCGTATATGTGTGAGTCTTTTTCTGGACTCCATATCCTATTGTGTGAATTTACATGTCTTAAAACAACAGCACACTGCCTTGACTACTGTAGTTAGATAGTAGATCTCAAAATCAGGTAGTGTAAATTACCTCTGGTTTCTTTCCTCTTTTTCAAAAATGTTACTGCTTTTATTTTCAAATAAATTTCAGAATCACTCCATGGATTGCTACCAGAAAAAAAGTCTGCTAGGATTTTGACTAAAATTGCATAAAATATACAGAACAATGTGGGAAGAATTAACATCTTAAGAATGTTGAGCCTTCTGATTCATGAATATGGTATATCTCTCCATTTATTTGGGTTTCCTTTCGTGTTTCACGGTAATGTGTTACCACTGTTAATGTGAAGTACTTAAATATACATTGATAGATACATCACTCTTTCATGTATTTAATACTATTGTAAATGGATTTTTTAAATTTCAGTTTCCAGTAGTTTTTAGTTGATAGGAATTGGCTTTTGTATGGAACCTTGCTAAACTCATTTATTAGGTCTAGTACATTTGTAGATTTCCTATGATTCTGTAGCTGATTTTCTTATAGCACTGGTCTTCTGACAAGAACTTCCCTCTGCTTTTGTCTGAAAATGTTTTTCTTTGTTGTTTTGCTTTTTATTTACTTTTTTTCAAAGAGAGAGAGAGATAAGTTCTCTCTCTCTTGTTACTCAGGCTGTAGTGCAGTGGTGCAGCGGTAACGCATGGCAGCCTTGACCTTCCAGGTTGAAACAGTCCTGCCTCCTCAGCCTGCCAAGTAGCTGGAACTACAGGCACACACCACCATGCCCAGCTAATTTTTTAAGTTTTTGTAGGGACAGGGTCACACTGTGTTGCCAGGCTAGTCTCAGACTCCTAAACTCCAGCAATCCTCCCTCCCTGGGATTACAGGTGTGAGCTGTCATGCCCAATTGACAGTGTTTTCATTTCGTCTTCATTTTGAAAGGCCATTTTTCTTGCCATATAGAATTTTAGTTTCACAGGTTTTCAGCACTGTAGTAAATATGCCTTCTCACTGTGTTTAGCTGGTAGAGCTTCTAGTCAGAAGTGTGTGATGTCCTGTCCTTGTTTCTCTCAGTGCAATGTGTCTTTTCCCTCTGGCAACTTAAGATGTTTTCTTTATCACTGGTTTTCAGGAATTTGATTATGATGTGTGGTTTTCTTTCAGTTTAACTTGCTGTGTGTTGATTGATCTTCTTGGATCTTTGAGATCCTATTTTTCATGAAATTTGGAATTTTTTCTGCTCTCCTCTCTCCTTTCCCCTGGGACCCTAATTACCTGAATGGTGGACAGCCTGAGAGCACCCCCTGACCCGCTCACACTCTGTGTATTGCTTCCCAGACCTTTTTTCTATTTGCTTTATTTTTCTTAGACTTTTTTGGTTACATTTCAATTCCATCAGTCTTCCCTCCTGCAGTACCTAATCTGCTGTTAATCTCATTCAGTGAAATTTTCATTTCAGATATCGCATTCTTCATCCCTAAGGAATTTCATTTGCCTCCTTTTTCATATCCCATTTTCAGATCTTCCATTAATCCCTCATTGTGGACATACGTCCTTTAAACACTGATGCCTCATTATACTTCTGTTTAACGCCTCATTGTGGACATATGTCCTTTAAATGCTGACGCCTCGTTATACTTCTGTTTAACGCCTCATTGTGGACATATGTCCTTTAAATGCTGACGCCTCGTTATACTTCTGTTTAATGCCACTGTCTGCTGGTTTCCTCCTCTCCACCATATCCAGGTCTGTCTCTGTTGATTGATTTTTCTCCTGGCTATGGGTCATATTTTTCTAATTCTCACAAACCTAGTAAATGTTGATGGAAGGCTAATCGTAGTGAATGCACGCTTGTTCATCATCTGATTTTGTTTCTCCCAGTTAGAGTGTTGGGCTTTGCCTTGGCAAGCGGTTAAGTTACTTGCAAATTGGTTCGATGCCTTTGAGTCCTACCCTTGAGCTTTGCATGAATGGTTCTAGAGGGCCCTTGCCTCAGGGATAGTTCAGTCCTACTAAGACAAGATCCCTTTAGGGACTCCCCCGCCAAACTCCTGGCTGATCAGCAAATTCCACTCTGTTTAGAGTCAGCATCTGGAGATGAGCAGGAGAAGAGCCGGAGCCTGGAGGGTCACCACGGGGATGCGGGCTTTTATGCTGAGTGGCGTGGGCAGCTATTAGAAGGCTATCAGCAGAGGAGTGACATCATCAGACTTACGTTTTAAATCTCGCTCAGGGTGCCATGTAGAGATCATGAACAGGGAGAAATAAATCCAAGAGGAGGCTGCTCCTGTGGGAGGAGACAGAGGCCCAGGCTGGGGTGGGGCCGGGGTTGGGGCTGTGGAGGTGGTGGGGAGTGCAGGCTCCAGTATGTTCTAAAGGAAGAGCAAGCTTTTTCCTAAACGGAAGCAGGATATACAGAGACCCATTCAGGGCTTCTCTGACCTGAGTACCGAGTGCCACGCCCAGGGAGGGGATTGCTGCAAAGGGCCTGCTCTCAGACATCAGCTGAATGAGGGGCAGGCACAGTCAGGGCAGGTGGCTCTCGGCTGTCAGCTCCAGGTGGGTGGCGTTGAAGTCTGGGACTTAGTAAGGCCATCAGGGAGTGAGTGAGCACCAGCAAGAGGGGCCAGGCCTGAGCCGGAGGAGACCAAACCCGTCCATGGGAGAAGGATGCTGGTGACTGGACACCATCAGGGGCAGAGGGGTCAGAGCCCCGAAGCTCTGGAGGCTCGAAGAGGCAAAGGAAGGCCGACGGGGGTGGAATGCGGTGGGGCTTGGGCAGGCCAGCCGAGAGGGCGAGACGGCTGTGCTGAGGGTTGGAAGAGCGTCACTGGGAGCTGAGGAAAGAGGGGTCCCTCTGTCACTTGGGGGACCATCCAGGACCAGTGAGAGATGGAG